GACTGCTGGCTCTGGGCTGGCAGGCTTGGAGCTGGTACAGGCACTGTGGCCAGAGTCTACCCCTTTAAGGGCTCCAGGGAGGGGGAAGGGAGAGGAGTGTTCTTGGTTGAGAGTGGAGAAGCCACCAGGGCACCCTGGGAAGGCTAGAGGCCCCTATTTCGATATAAGTGTCTACACAGCACTTATTTCGAAATAGCTATTTTGAATTTGGCATTATTCCTCGTGGAATGAGATTTACCAAATTCGAAATAAGCTCTCTGCTATTTCGATTTAATTTCAAAATAGCGGTTTGGCTGTGTAGATGCTAGGAAAGTTATTTTGAAATAACTTTACTGTGTAGACATACTCTTCGTTTTCCCCACAGCAGGAGCCCCTCCACAGCTCCTACTCCTACCCCATCTCTGCCCCACTCTACATCTGCCTCTTTCCTCCCTTAGGGTATGTCTACACTTGTAGCCTATTTCGGAATAGGGCTGCAAATGGAGGCATTCGGAATTGCAAATCAAGCCTGGGATTTAAATATCCCGCGCTTGATTTGCATCTTCCCGGCCGGGCGCCATTTTTTGAAATTTACAAGCCTGGAATAACTGCGCATCTACACGCGGCAGTGAAATGGGCATTCGAAATAAAGCCCCATTTTGAACTACCTATTAAACCTCGTTGCAGGAGGAATAACAGGTAGTTCGAAATAGGGCTTTATTTCGAATGCCCATTTCACTGCCGCGTGTAGATGCGGGCAGTTATTCCGGGCTTGTAAATTTAAAAAATGGCGCCCGGCCGGGAAGATGCAAATCAAGCGCGGGATATTTAAATCTCAGGCTTGATTTGCAATTCCGAATGCCTCCATTTGCAGCCCTATTCCGAAATAGGCTACAAGTGTAGACATAACCTTACTGGCACGAGCTCCTTACTTCCTCCATCCCCATTCATGAGCTCTCTACATTTGAGCCCAGTTGCCTCTTCCTTTTCCTCCATTCTGCCTGGGCATGAACAAGGATGGCTCTGCGAACACAGGTTGCTCTCAGTTCCAGTGCCTGGCACGACATCAGCTACCAGAAGGAACAATGTCAAAGGAAGTCCAGCTCATCCCTTGCAGCCTTGGGTGGAGCATGCTCAGTTGCTCTGTGAGGGGATGGGATGTCCTCAGTGCAAGATGGAAACTTTAGAGAATTTAGCTGCCAAACTCTAACAAAGTTCTACTCAGCCTGTGTGAACTGAGATTTTTCAGATGCTAATTACTTGGCCACAGTTGGTCCAATTTTTACAGGCACAGCAAAAGGCCACCCAAAGGCCTTCAATTCCTCCTGCTCCAAAGCTCGGCGATACTAGGGCTTCTCAGTGACACAGATGCAAGAATTTTTTGAATGGAAATGGCTGAGGCAGGTACCCGGCATGGGAAATTTCAGCTTGAATCACTAAAGTTTGGCTGAAAACAAGGTGTTATAATGGGAAGTGTCTGACAACTTTAACTATAGGCATCACTAGCTAGGATGTCTATGCTAAAAAAGAGAAATACGTCCAGATGTCATCAGTAAGGGACTCTGCCCTCCTGAAGGAGGAGTGGCTTGTCTTATTCCCCATTGTGTGTGAGGGAGAAGTGTGAGTCCATAGAACTAGGTCCATGAGGCAAAGGATGGAAGATATGCCGCTTGGCAAATAAAGCTGTGTAATTGTGCACGCAAGTGGTTTGGTACTGTAAGGTTGCACGAGCGTGCAGCTTTGTTTACTAAATACTTGTGGTAGGTTGCTAGGTTGGATACATTGCTTTGCGATTGTAGGGAGGCTGGCTCTGATTTATTGGTTTAAATGCATATTTGAAGCTTGCAATTTTTTTAAAAAATTACATATGTAAACAATTGCTTGGACTTTGCAGATATATCTAGTGGCGGAGGGTGGAAGTATTTCAGACCAAGAAACTCTCAATACAGTCTTTCAGGGGTTAAGCAATAGGCCAGATCCTGTCTTAACCAACACAGCTCCAGGTCTCCCTGTGTTTATTACAGCAAATATAACTTTTTATGAAGTTGCGCTCTCTCTCTCTCTCTCTCTCTCTGTCTCTCTGTCTCTCTCTCTCTCTGTCTCTGTCTCTCAGATTCAGCTGAAAGGTACCGGCATCTCATCATCACGTCAATAAGCCAAAGGTATGGAAATAAGAGAGCAGCAGGAGCAGCTGTCCTGGGACAAGCACAGCCACCAGCTTTCAACCAAGCCTTCATCAATCTAGTTGTCCGGCAAAGTAAATCTCCTAAACTAAAAGAGAGAGCAGATAAGCCCAAGGAGGACTCAGCAGGCATGCAGGAGGCAGAGGAATGCGTGGACACAGCTGTGAAAATCTTAGATCTGTTTGAAAGCGTTGTTAGCTCGGGTACCACCAGGGTTATTCTTTTGTTTGGCAAACCGGGTATGGGAAAGACCATGTTGATGCATAGGCTTTGCCAGAAGTGGGCAGAAGGAGCCTTGCATCAATTTCTGTTTACTTTTCTTTTTGAGTTTAGGCAGCTGAACCTAATAAGCAGAAAGCTGACTTTAAAGGAGCTTTTGTTTGACTTGCTCCTCCAGCCAGAAGATAGCCCTGATGCAGTGTTTCAACACCTGGTGGAGAATGCCCAGCGCACACTGTTCATCTTTGATGGGCTGGATGAATTTGTGGGGAACATAAGCCAGCCATCCTCAGCTGGTGTAAGCCCGGCCCTCCTCAGGTCTATGTCCATATCTGAGCTGTTTGCCAATCTCTGTTTTGGAAAACTTCTGCCTGGGTGCACGGTGCTGGTCACCAGTCGGCCTAAGAAACTACCTGGCTTTCTGTTAAGCAGAGCTGATCTGCTGGCAGAAATCTGGGGATTTGACCACGAGAGAGTTGAAGAGTATGCCAGCCAGTATTTTCACGAACATTTCTTCAAAGATCAGGCCATTGCTCACCTGAAAAACAATAGCAAGCTTATGAGTATGTGCTTTATCCCTGCCTTGTGCTGCATTGTCTGTGTCTGTTTGGAATATTTGCTGAGGAATCGTTTGCTGAATGTGGAACTTCCTCAGACCATGACCCAATTTTATATCAAAATGCTCCTCATCTTTATAAGTAAACAGCAGACAGAGGACACTGTGAGTGAAGACAAGCAGCTGAATCTCCACAGGATGGCCATTTTGGGCCTGTGTGACCTTGCACTGAAAGGCCTGGAAGAGAAGAAGATAGTGTTTTATGTCAATGATATCCCAGAGCATGTGAAAGCGTTTGCTTCTTTGCATGGGTTACTAACTGTCTTTGAGGTGAAGATGAGCGACAGCCTCCCAGAGGCTGGCCATGCCTTTGTGCACTTGAGTCTTCAGGAGTTTTTTGCAGCACTGAGTCTGATGATAAACAGCGCAGTTGATGGAAACTACCTGAAGAGAAAGTTCTCTCTGAAGTCAAAGTGGACTTTAAAAAATGAAACCAGGACTGAGTTCATGGAGAATTTTCACATCTTTCTCTCAGGCCTCTCGTCAAAAGAGTGTAGGACGTTCCTTACCATGTTATCTGAGCAAAGCCAGGCCTGGGTGCAGGACAAGCAAGCCGCCATCTTGCAGTCATTGAGGAAGCTGGCAGCTACTAATCTAACAGGGCCCAAAATAATTGAGCTGTGCCATTGCACTTATGAAACACAAGACCTTGAATTAGCCCAGCATGTTGGGAGCCAGTTAAATTTCAAGTATGAATTTAGAAACTTTAGGTTGACGCCTCTAGATGTTTCAGCTTTAGTTTTCGTCATTAACTGTGGCCGGGATTTGACTCAATTGGATTTTGCAGGCTGCCCCATGGAATTAGATTGTTTGGAAGTTCTAGCCAGCTGCAAAAATATCGAACACCTGAGGTAAGAAATGCAGTGAAAGACATAGACATTTGGATTGAGATTTTGAAAGATGCTTCAGGGATTTCTGGGGCCAGTTATCATTAAAATTAATGAGAAGGGGAGTTCTAAATTACCTGTCTTTGGAGGGCTCAGATATCTGGCAGTGAAATCATAAGAATTTCACCTCTGGATTGCTGGTTCAAAGCCAGCCAGCACTGCTAGCAACTGAAATTTGCTTCCATCTAATTGCTGTTAAATGTTTTAGATGAAATGAGTTTGTCTCAGTCCAGTTTCTACCGGACAAGTGCCCCCATTACAGTGGGCAGGTTCAGCAAAGAGATCAAAGAGAGTGAACTACCATCTCATCTCTAAAGCTGGTACTTGACAACCTCCAGGTCAGGGGTTGAGGGAGGGAGCCAAGTAGGCACTTGAATTTCCAGAGAAGTCAGTTTGGTACCTTTGTGAGTGCTAAGTTCACTTCGAAGATTGCCTGCATTTCAGGTCGCTGTGTGCTACTAATTTATCATATTGTAAAGGGCATATTTCTCCAATATCAGCTTTTAAGCATTCAGACAAAGTTCATCCCTGGTCTAACTCCATTGACCTCAGTAGCTTGACAGGCAGAAGCCATTAGCCCTTTCCAGTTTGTAAGAGTCAGATTTACCCCACTCGTTGATGGAATCATGAGCAGGACCTTAAATAAGGACTTATTCAACTTTATCCTAGTGCTGGCAGAGTCCTCAGTTACACTGTCTCCACTGTTAAGCAACAGCTACTGCATGTAGTGCCTTAACAACCAAGCCAATGAAGTCCACCCCCACCCCGGACATTTGATTATGTTGAAATGCTGTCTAAAGAACGAATATGTTTAGACATAAACATGATGCAACAGGGTGGCTAGATCATATAATGTTTCAAAAAAATGAAGCATTCTTTTTTGTTTTTGTTATATCATGTTTTAATCCTTTTTTATTGTTTTAGTTTTAGGAGCAGGAAATATGGTGACGAATTTGCAGTTGCTCTTTTCAAAAGCTTACCGAAGATCACGTGTCTGAAGAAACTAGAGTAAGCATTTAATATTAGGCTCAATCATTCTTACTTTGCTCTAGTCCTGAATAGGAAGGCTGGCAACGGGTTCTCCTTTGGATTTTGCAGCTTAATATCCAATCTTATGTCATATATGTATTTTAAATCTTGCTCTGTGTGATGTCTAAACTATAATCTGTGGTACTGTATAGTGCAGCGCAAAAATACAGATATCCATGAGAAATGTAATGGTATATACAATCTGTGCACTGCTACCAAATGCCAGGATATATCAGGAGAAAAATGCATCACCACCTTATGCTGGTGAAATAATCCTTTATATCTATTAGAGCTGTTTGAAATTTTATCTTTCACTTTTTTATTTTTGGATGAAAGCTTTTTGGTTTTCAAGTTTTCAGGTTTTCCATCCCTCTCCTTTCCCCCAAACGCCCTTTTTTTTTTTTTTTTTTTTTTTTGAGGAAGGTCTCAAGACACTTTTTGCAAAAATGTTAGTTAAATTGAAAATAAATAATAGTGATAATAAGTAATACAAAATAAATAATAAACATTCAATGGAAAATATTTGACCAGCCCTAATATATTTCTTGTATAGGTTAAGCTGTGTTGAAGCTGTTTGTGTTTAAGCTGTCTGTCCAGAGGATGAAAATATTATTAGTGTATCATTGATTTCCTGATGTATCTGTCTCAATGGCCCTATAGTAGTTAAATCTTTGCTCTCTATTAATTAATTATTGTATCTGGCAAACTCTCCTAACTACCGGTACCTAAAAAAAACTCCTACATTTTTGGTAGACTGAATTCAGTATAAGAAGCTTGCACTCTTAGGCCTGATTTACACCTAAAACTTAGGTTGACCTAGCTACATCACTCAGAAGTGTCAATAATTAATACTCCTGAGGGAAGTAGTGAAGTTGACCTTGGCTCCAGTCTAGGTTATGCTAGGTTGACTGAAGAATTCTTCCATCAATCTAGCTGTCCCCCTTTGGATTTATCCCCTGGTGGATTTATTATGTGCTTGAAAACCCCCTTCCATCATCATAGCAAGCATCTACAGAGTTCAACCCTGGTTTCTTTTTCTGTTTGTTTATACTGAGAACTGGGAAGGCAGTCTACCATTAACTGTTGTGAACATGTAGTTCTGCAGTCTTGGTTAGCAGCAGTAACTTGCTTGGTTTTTAAGCTACTTTGCAACAGTTTTCAAAATCCTGACACATGCTATAATTTTGTGACAATATTAAAAACACACTCACAAGCATGTAAATTTCCTTGATAATTAGGTACTCAGTTTTCACTGATTTGGGTTTTTCTCCCCAAGAACATCACCTTTTACTTGACACTGAAATACATATTGCCTGTGTCTACACTGGACCACTTATTCCGAAAAATCAACCGCTTTTCCGGAATAAGCTGCAAGCTGTCTACACTGGCCCTTGAATTTCCGGAAAAGCAACGATGCTCTACTGTACAAAATCAGCCGCTATTCCGGAAAAACTATTCTGCTCCCGCTCGGGCATAAGTCCTTATTCTGGAACACTGTTCCGGAAAAGGGCCAGTGTAGACAGCCCAGTAGTCTTTTCCGGAAAAAAGCCCCGATCGTGAAAATGATGATTGGGGCTCTTTTCCGGAAAAGCGTGTCTACATTGGCCACAGACGCTTTTCCAGAAAAAGGGCTTTTCCGGAAAAGCAGCCTGCCAACGTAGACGCTCCTTTTCCGGAAAAACTGAAAACGGAATAGTATTCCGTTTTAAGCAGTTCCGGAAATTCATGCCAGTGTAGACACAGCCATTGAGTGACGAATGGGCATGGCTCTCTCCCAGTGCGCTCTCAGACAACCTGAATTGCTGGAAAATAGAAAGAGACAGTTAAGGTGGTCTGTCTGAACTAGGTATTTGGTGTCACCAAAGGGACTCCCAGATTGCTGGCACAGGAACTCGGTCTTCTACCGTCCAGGTGTCTTTGGCTTTTGAAAAATGGTGTTCTGAAGGACACCGATATTTCTGCTGGCTGGCCCAACTTGGATCCTTTTTTTGGAGGTTCTGAAATGGAGCAATCAGATGGTGACTCATACTTCTACTGAAGATTCAAAATGTCCAACCAAAAGGAGAGTCATCCTCTCTTACTATCCCATAAGAGACTGAGGCATCAGCTTTTAAGTTCTTACAATGGAGACTGGGATTTTCCTGTCTCATTGTGTAACACATCTAGTGTAAGACAAGTTAGGCCTTAACTGTTGGCACACCCTTCTTGGGACTCACCTTGCACACTGGCTGCCCTGCTCTGGTGATGCTCTGGGGACTAACTGAGCAGCACTGGTCCTGGGGTGGCTGGAGCAAACACCCCAGGGGCATCTAGAAGCCATCCAGTCCCTAGGGAACAGCAGCGAGGGCCAGTCAGCCCCCAGCACGGAAGCAGGGGACCCCCCAGAGCAGCAGCCCCAGAAGCAGAGATTTAGCCTGGGGTATTTTTGGTAGGTGCCATGTACAGGACACTGGCCATGAATGTTAGTTTATTGCCTGTGACCTGTCCATGGCTTTTACAGAAAATACTCCTGTCTAAATCTTAGCCTTAGTTATGGGGCTGAGTGACAACGGAGGATCCTGTCCGTGGTGGTGGAGAAAGGAGCATGTGGGGTGGGCTTACTGTGGGAAAGCTGAACTCCATTTTGTCTCTGTTGAACTCTTGGAAGCAGTGTGGGGTGTATTTTCTTCTCTACTTCCTGCAGCTTTTCCCTGCAAGTTAAGAGACTGAAAGTCTGGAATTAAAATTCCTACAAACTGCGATGGATGCCCAGCAAAGTGATGGTGCTGGAGCCCAATTCGGCCCCTTGTCCCTACAGCGTAACTTCCATTGACTGAAAGCAGAATCAGGCCACATGCCTCTGTACCTTCCTCCTAGTCACATGCTGGGCATGGAACCCAGCAACACCCCAAAGACTGTTTCTGTCACGAGTCTGGCGGATTTGTACTGATATGCCATTTTCCATCTGCTTTGTGGTTTTCAGGCTAACTGGTGGGAATATCACTGCTCTGGGGCTAACTGGCCTGACACAGGTTTTTTCAAACTGTCTTCAACTTGAAGAAATAAAGTAAGTGACCCATGTTAGTGGGCTGAGTGATGCTTTTCAAATCAGCTGAGAATTTTGTGGGGAGAATACTAATCAGGCAAACTGATTTGCAGCTTCCAGGACAATCGACTGAAGGACCAAGAAATAGTGAAGATCACTGAAATGTTTTCCAGAGTGGAAAAGCTAAAGATGATTGAGTAAGTAAGAGATTTAATCACTTAAGCCATTAAAATGTCAACTCCAAAGAAGCAAAAGTATCCCATTGAAGGGTCAAGTTAGCTTAGGGTCAACAGCAGGCTGGGGAGTAAGGCCGGCAGTCCCTGGGTGAGCCAGGGACACTCATTTTTAGTAGTGAGGTAGGTGGTCCAACTTGCAGCTCCTGGACTGGATCTGACCTGTGGGATGATTTTGTCCAGACCCAAAACATGACTGCTCCCATCCGAGTAGACCTGCTCTATAAAACGTGTCTTGTGCCTGGAAAGACCCTGCATGAATTGTGTGAGGTCATACTACATGAAGGACAGCATTTTATAGAGCAAAACTGTGTTCCCTGCACAATGGGACTTTCAAACTATCATACATGTGAGGCCATTTTGTAGAGTATGTATTCCTCATGGAGGTGCCTCAAAATTAACATTTGGCCCACAGCACTGAAAAGGCTGGACCACAGATCATCAAAACTCATGCATGGAGTCGGGTGACTTCAAACCATTTTACTCTTTTGGAGACTCAACTGCTGTGTGCCACTGGAGGACAGGAAAGGCCAAGCCACAATCAATATCCAAGGCCCACTCAAAAAATCATTAGAATAGACTACCAAAGGAAACGGTGGATTCGTCACCTTTTGAAGTCTTCCGATTAGAACTGGTTATCTTCTTGGAAGATCTGCTTTAGCTAAGCACATATAGCTTTTGGGCTCAAAATAGGAGTAAGTAACAGGATGAAATTTGATGGAGATAATTTAATAGTCCCCCCTAGATTTAATATCTAGGAATCTGTGAAATTAGAGTTCATTAAAAAAGAAAACAATCCCCAGCCTCAAGGTTTTATTACACCTAATATGATAGAAATGTCTTCTTGAGATGCAGTTGTATATGCAGATGTAGGATGGGAAGAAGAATTGGAATTGAATATTCCTCTGCCGGCTGGAAATTGGAAACTAGTATGGAATAGAAATAGATTTTCAACTGAAAAAAAGAGAGTGAAATTTACCAAATAGACCAGTCTAATTACAGGGTCCATTCCTTCAAATTCTTATACATGTGCATAACTTTACTCATGAACCGTTCCACTGGTGTCAGTCAGAGCCAATTTATGCCCATGCAAAAGTGTTTGCAAGAATTTTTGGACTTCTAAGTTGAGTGAAGTCCAAAAATTAAATAAACAGTGTAAATATAGTAAATGAGAGTTTTGAAAAATTCTTTGAGTTTTACTCATAATAGAAGTTAGATTTTTTAAGCACAGGATTTTTGTCTTGTCTATGTTCCTTTAAAGTACTGTATTTACATCTGTTGTTATGCTGCAACAGACTATGAAAAATGTTCTGTGTGCGTTAAATATTTCATCATAAATAGCTATGATAGTGCAGTTGTATCACCTATATTATTAATATGTGTTTTGTTTAGCAGAAAATGGTGAATAACTGTTTTACTATTGTTTAGATCTACCAAGTATGTCCCTGATTCTGAACTTAGGGGTAACAGTTGCATTTGAAAGAGTCCAAAAAATAGAATTGAATTGTGAACACATTGAAATGTCTGCTGGCTAAAAACAAACAATGTAGTTTTAAATTGTCATCAAATCTGTTGGGATGTGTGTGTTGAGAAGCAGTGGTTGTACAGTAGATACAGAGACTTATCAAATCCAAGCAGCTGACATTGTGATCTTCTGACTATTATTCACAGCTTAAGCCATAACGATATTTCTGTGACGTCTGTTCTTTCTTTGGCGAAGGGAGCCACTACTTGTCCAGATGTTACTGAACTACATATAAGGTACTGGTAATACATGCTATGAAAATATAGACTTTATTTCTCTATCTGTTGACTTTAAAAACTGACTTTTCTTTTCAATAGAATTGCTCCCTAATAAAGATTGGTGCAAATTGAGTTCAACTCTCCCCTTCTTGACTAGTTGAAAGATGGAGATGGACTCTCAGTTACATGACAATATGGCATTATTGAGGCTTTGATTTTTACATGTTCATTTCACACATTGGTTTTGCAGTGTAAACTTTATAAGTAATATAATTTTAAACTCTGTTTTTGAAACATGCAACATCTACACTGTGAGATTCCTTGTCAGTGCAAACGAATGATAAAGCAGTGAAAATCATCAGTTTATATATCTTTGAATAAAGATTTTGATACTATCCTCTGTCCAAGATACCGGTTAAAGTGGAGAATTAACTTACGTATCTTACAGCTGATTTACATCTATGTATAAATTCCAGGAGCAAGATTAATCCCTAGTACAACTCCAGTGAAGTCCAGTTTGCTTTTTTCCAAATTTTCCATGAGGTACACATGTAATATTGAATCATTATATGTATCTTGCATAAGAGCATTTTTTTACTTAACTATGTTGTTTTGTTGCCTTTGTTAAAACAAGCCATGCCATAGCTGGAGCAAAGGGCCAGATTACTGCAGTAAATTGAGACATTTTGGATCAATCAGTGGAATGATCTTGTGTTTTTATGAGAGACACATATAGAGAAGGGGAACCCCAACAAGGAATTTGCTCAAGCTTCCAGCCAGCTTTGCTGAGACCAATGGGTTTTTTGACTAATAACCACTGTAATGTTCCCTTTTGTTTCTTAAGCTTCAGAGCTCTGAGAGCAGCAGACTTGATTCAGTGGGAGCTTTGCCATCCATTTTAATGAGAAGGATCAGGTCCCTACGGAGTATTTCTGCATATGCAGTTTGATCCTGTAGCACTCAACCTAATAGTGTGTTGTCTCTTGCTTGCAGGAAGGACACTGTCATGATATATTTTTCTGGACAGTCTAAAAGAATTCCAAGGTGAGAAACTGATATAGAAGTAGTGAATAGATAAGGGAATTCGGATTAAAAAAATAGTCATTTCTACCATGAACACTGGTGACTGCTGGCTCCAGAAATGGGACATAACTCCCTTACTTACACCTGTTTAAGGGTATGTCTACATTGCACAGCTATTTCGGGATACCAGAGATATCCCAATATAGCTATCCTGCGTCTACACAAGCCACACGTTATTTTGAAATATTTTTCGAAATAACACCATCCCAGTAAACCTCACTGCATGAGGGATAAGGGATGGCTTGAAATAGCGCATTATTTCAAAATTTGGCGCTGTGTAGAGATGCCAAATTTCAAACTAAGCAATTTTGGAATAGATTCGAAATAAGATATGCAATTTGCGCCATGCAAATTGTGTATCTTAGAGTTTAGGGTGCAGTGTAGATGCACCCTAAAAGCGAATGTAAAACTCTGTTAATCCAGAATGGTAACATTTGTGTGGGAATAAATGTCAGTACAGGTTGCAAGGCAGTTCTAAATCATGGCCACATTGATTTTATTTCTACGAGATGGGGACATAAAAGGGCTGAAATACTTCTGATACCTTTCTTGGTTTCCTCTTTTATGCCTTTGCCTATGTGAGGGGACAGCATGGATTTAGCTCTAGGTAAATAAAGACCAAGCAAAACATGGGTACTTGTTTTTTCTCTTAGATGATCAGCTGAACCTTTTGCCACATGCTGTGGTATATACTTGAACATTTTTGTATGAAGTGAGCAGTCGTGCTCTATCTACACTGTCACAGAAAGTCAGCCTAAAATACCCAGCTCTAGTTATGTGACTAATGTACTTTAGGTCGTGTTAATGTAGGGTCTATACTGAGGGGGGTTGATGGGAGAAACTCTCCTATTGACTTCCCTCACTCTTCTAATCCGGGGTCGGGCAGAGGGGTCAACTGCAAAGTGATCTGCAGTTGATTTGGTGAATCTTAACTAGTCCTGCTAAATTGACTGCTGGTGGATTGATCTTAGAGTGTAGATATGGGCTGTAGTATGGACATAGGCGTAGCCTACTGACTATCATTCACCCATTCTCTGGGCCAAAGAACTGAATCTTGGAAAAGACTCGAGCTACCCCTACATGGCAGCTGAGGTAGACACACATGCATTAGCTGTGATTGTGCTAGCATGCTAAAAAGAGCAATGTAGCCACAATGGTGGGGACAGTGGGTGGCAGGCCTGTTTGGGATTGTGAGTGTGCATTCAGAGCTGCTAGGCCATCTCACTGCCTCTGCCACTGCAGCCATACTGCTGGTAGCACACTAGTTCCATCAAAGCTAGCACAGGTTCGCCTAGCCGAGCTGGGACTCTGTAAATGTACCTTCAGTGACTTCTTCCAGCAAAGCTTTATCCCTTCCCTGCACATAGTATAGTGCAGCTGGAAAACATTCAATGGCTGAAATGTCTCATGGTGGCCTTTCCAAGGCTGGTAAATGTTTTGTTTCTTTGCAGATCACCAAATTTGAGGAGAAGAAAAAACAAAGAGGAAAATGTTGCTCAAATAAGAACTTTGACGTTACGGTAAAATTAAAATATTGAAATGTCTATGGGAAAATAGAGCTCCTTACATGGTATGTTCCATAGATGGGTAAAGTAACCATTAAAGACGGTGCATATTGCTATAACGCTGGCTAAATTATTAGAAATTTAAAGTATCCCTGCCTGTCCAAGTGGGGACCCCAGGTTACTGGGAGTTGGGCTCAGCAGACATGGTCTAACAGTTTTCCATTGTGACATCATAAGTTGTCATGGAAAAGTTTGCATCACCATGTCATCGTGCTATGAAACCAGCTGAGCAGAGCCTGCACTTGTGGCTGGAAAGGGCTGTGTGTATTGGGAGGAGCCTGCTTTCTTCCCTTCACCTCCCCATGATGATGGGAGATGGAATCACAGAGCACTGGGGCCATCATAGCTGGCGTAAGATGGTAAAGGTGCACAGGATAATGGATGGCATGTGGAGAGAAGGTAGGCAGTGTGGGGATTACGTTCTTCCCTTTTTCCCAATATAAGAACAAGGGGATGTTCCTTGAATAGCAGGAAAATGTAACCTAAGGAAAAGAAAGACTCTTTAACACAGCACATAATCAGCCTGTGGAATTCCCTGCCACTAGATATAACTAAGGACAAGAGTTTAGCAGGAGTGGATTGGGTATTTATCAGCATCTGGATTTACAACAGTAAGGATTTTTTTAAACAAGCATTGTGGAAGGAAGGAAAGCCCTCCTGCAGCAAGGCAAAACCCGGCCTCTAACTGAAGAGGTTATGAAGAAAATTTCTGTAGATGTTGGCTATTGCATGTCGACCTACTTCATAGTTTCTTGCCACTTTATCTGTAGGATCTAGTGCTGGTCATTACCAGAGATCGGATGCTACAGTAGGGGAACCATGACCCTGCCAGGTTCATCACTATTAAGTTTCACCAGCAATTAAATCCAGGAGACAGAGGTGTTACAAAATTCAGATTGGCTTTACAGAAGAACTATACCAATTTCATCGGGAGAAAAACAACCCATCTCCTTTCTCCCATCCTCTGTCCCACCCACTGAACCCCTCTGCCCAGCTACCCTATTCTAAACATGAATTCCCTGTGGATGGAGAGAGGGCTAATTCCTAATGATAGTGCCCATTGAGAGAGAGAGTGCTCTGTTCTGTTTGTGTTTCTGGTCATTTAATCCAATCTTTCTGTTCTTAGAAAGGTAAGTAAGTGTCCAGGGGTTGACTGAGGTCCTCAGATGACAGATTTCATGCAAGGGCAAAGTAATGGTCATGTCAGTGTTTGATGACCTTTGTAAAGCTCTTCGAGATCTGTGGATGAAAAGCTCTCAGTGTTCTAATTGTTATTAAACAGGACATGCATGAAGAAGGGTTTATTCTTTTATTATTCTTTATGGTCTGTTAGAGGTAGAGCTGCGTAAGGGGTTAAAATACAAAAATCCTGGCCTGTCTAAACCAGTGACCCCAAGGTACTGTGAGCTGAGCTCAGCCAACATGGCCTTATAATGTTCCAGTTGTGATGTCATGTTATCGCAGGGAAGAGAGTTTATCACACTGTGACCCTGGCTCAGCAGAGCCTGCACTTGTGGCAGGACAGGGCAGCCTGATGTGAGATGGACTCGGAGAGTTGGCTGGTGTTGGATGATAAAGATACACAGAGGAATAGATGGCCCAGAAAATGCGGATCAGGCACTTACGTTCACACTTTCATATTTCCAGGGCAAGGGGACATTCATAGAATCCTAGAGCTGGCAGAGACCTCAGGAGTCATCAAGTCCAGCCCCCTACCCCAGGCAGGACCAATCCCAACTAAATCATCCCGGCCAGGGCTTTGTCAAGCCAAGACTTAAAAACCTCTAGGGATGGAGATTCCATCACCTCCCTAAAAGCAACAAGGAGTCCTGTAGCACCTTATAGACTAACAGATGTATTGGAGCACAAGCTTTCATGGGCAAAGACCCACTTCGTCAGATGCATGTAGTGGAAATATCCAGAGGCAGATATAAATATGCAGGCCAGAATCAGGCTAGAGATAACAAGGTTAATTCAATCAGGGAGGATGAGGCCCACTTCTAGCAGCTGATCTGGAGGTGTGAATACCAAGAGAGGAGAAGCTGCTTTTGTAGTTAGCTAGCCATTCACAGTCTTTGTTTAATCCTGAGCTGATGGTGTCAAACTTGCAGATGAACTGTAGCTCAGCAGTTTCTCTTTGAAGTCTGGTCTTGAAGTTTTTTTGCTGCAGCATCGCTGCTACCTTTAGATCTGTACCCAGAAGCCTCCTGTTGTGGGACAAGCCCAAGAAAGAAACCAACAGAACACCACTGGCCATCACCTACAGTCCTCAGCTAATATCTCTCCAACACATCATCGGTGATCTACAACCCATCCTGGACAATGATCCCTCACTTTCACAGGCCGTGGGAGACAGGCCAGTCCTCGCCCACAGACAACCCGCCAACCTGAAGCATATTCTCACCAGCAACTATACACCGCACCACAGTAACTAACTCAGGAACCAATCCACGCAACAAACCTCGGTGCCAACTCTGCCCACATATCTACGCCAGCAACACCATCACAGGACCTAACCAGAGCAGCCACACCATCTCGGGTTCATTCACCTGCACATCTACCAATGTAATATTCGCCATTGTGCCAACAATGCCCCTCTGCTATATACATCGGCCAAACTGTACGTAAAAGAATAAATGGACACAAATAAGATATTAGGAATGGCAATATACAAAAACCTGTAGGAGAACACTTCAGTCTCCCTGGACACACAATAGCAGATCAAAAGGTAGCCATCCTGCAGCAAAAGAACTTCAAGACCAGACTTAAAAGAGAAACTGCTGAGCTACGGTTCATCTGCAACATGAACATGAGGGCCTCATCCTCCCTGATTGAATTAACCTCGTTATCTATAGCCTGATTCTGGCCTGAACATTATTTCAAAATAACTAGCGCTATTCTGAAATAATTTAGTCTGAGTCTACACAGCTAGCAGTGATTTTGAAATACTGTCAAGCTGGAGGACTTCTTACTCCAACTCCTGTAACCCTCATTGTACGAGGAATAAGGGAAGTTGGAGGAAGAGTGCTCTATTTTGAAATAAGTGCAGTGTAGATGCTCCCAATTTCTAAATCAACTACGCAATTGATGTAGCTCAATTTGCATAGCTTATTTCAAGTTAAGCCCTGCTGTGTAGACACACCCTTAGTGTTGTTCCATGCCTCAGTTTCCCCACTTGTAAAATGGGAATGATCATGCTCACCTTGCTTGTAGGGCAGGTGGTGAGTCTTTACTATACAATAAAACTTTGTACTCTCATAGCACTTGTCAGAGGAGGGTATCAGAGCGCCATACAAATTACTACCTTCATTTTACAACTAGAGAAACTGAGGCACAAAAGTGATTTGCCCAAGGTCACCCAGACCCCGTCAGTGGCAGAGCCAGAAACAGAATCCAACTCTGATGACTCACAATCTACTCCTTTTCATTGGACCTCTCTGCATTTAGCCAAAAGGTGAATTCCCACTAAATCTCGAGAGCGATGCTCAACCTGTCTGTTGAACAGTCTGCAGTCTAGTATCAGCTGTCTGTCTCCACTCTGCTCATTTAACCTAATCTTCCTCTTCCTAGCTTACAGGATTGCGGCCTTCATTTACAACATGCAGTCGAGATTGCTGCTCTTCTCAGGGGCTGCCCCCACCTCTCAGAAGTGGAGTAAGTGCACCGGGACAGATCCCGTTTCCTTCTAACTTTCCTTCTAATGTTGATCTTGCCTCAGGTGAATGGGAGAAGGAGAAATACGTCAAATCACCAACTTAATGCAAGATCCTCACCTCGGGGAGCTGCATGTTGTGCTGAGATTAGACATGCTGGGATTTTCAGTGAGAGGCAGTGGGAGCTGGGTGCCTAAACCCCTAATTATGGCCGTGCGGAGTGTAGGCAGGTGTCTATTTTAAATAGCATGGTTGGCCATGCTATGCCCTGGGGCAGAGGTGTGTGCCAGGGCCCTGGGAGTAGCGTTGGCAGAGTCAGAGATTATCAAACCAGAAGAATCCATTGTGACCACCTGCTCTGATTGGTCTCAAGCTGCAGTGGGGGAGGTCTAGGTTGGATAGTAGGAAAAACTATTTCACTAGGAGGGGGGTGAAGCACTGGAATGGGTTGCATAGGGAGGGGGTGCAATCTCCATTTTAAGGTGTGTCTACACAGCCGGGCTTAACTCAAAATAAGCTATGCAAATTGAGCTATGTCACATCACTCATTTTGAAATAGAGCACTCTTCCTCCGACTTCCCTTACTCCTCGTACAACAAGGGTTACAGGAGTTGGAGTAAGAAGTCCTCCAGCTTGACAGTATTTCAAAATAACTGCCTGCTGTGTAGGCGTGGATTAAGTTATTTCAAAATAATGCTAGCTATTTTGAAATAATGCTGCTGTGTAGACATACCCTTGGAGAATTTTAAGGCCAGGCTTAACAAAAGTCCTAGCCAGGGGGATTTAGTTGGCGTTGGTCCTGGTTTGAGCAGGGAGTTGCACGCAATGACCTCTTGAGGTCTCTTCCAACCCTAATCTTTTATGATTCTATGAAATTGTTTCAGTTAAAAAAAAATTTAAAAATCAAAACATTTTGTTTCAAAGTTTTCAGAGCAAAATATTTTGAGTTCTTGGTTTGAAATGACTTTTTGTTTCAAAATTTCCTTTTAATTTTACTTTAAAAAATCCGTCAGAGCGGTCAAACGGAAATGTTTCATTTGACCTAACCAGAATATCTTTTTGCCAACATTAAAAAAAGAAAAGGTTTGGTTCGTCCTGCAACTATTTTTTTTTTCAGAATTGCCAGGCAACCCGAAAAGCTCATTTGCACAGTTCTACAGGCACTAAAAAGGGGAATTAGGTGCAGGAGAGGAAATGAGGCCAAGAAATAAAAGCAACAAGAGGAGAATCGTGGAGTAGAAGGATGAGATTTTTTGGTGTCGTTTACCCTGTTTGAAATGAACCTCTTTAATGGGAAAATCTCTCAGTTTATCAGGTAACCAGCTTGGTGATGAAGGCTTCAGAAAGCTGGCAGAAAGTCTGCCCAACATGTGTATTTCTAAGCAGTTGGAGTAAGTATTGCCTTGCACCCTCCAACTAACCCTGGGTATGTCTACACTACCCTGCTAGTTCGAACTAGCGGGGTAATGTAGGCATACCGCACTTGCAAATGAAGCTCGTGGAATGAGGAGTAACGGTAGTTCGGCCTAGGAAGCCTAGTCCGAACTACCGCTACTCCTCATTCCACGAGCTTCATTTGCAAGTGCGGTATGCCTACATTACCCCGCTAGTTCGAACTAGCAGGGTAGTGTAGACATACCCCCTGTGATTAAGAGGCCAGCTATTGTGCATCATAACTGGCAGGATTCCTGTCCTAACCCAGAGTCTGGGTGATGTATTGAGACAGGAGGAAACTGACCTCACCTCTTTTGGAGTGAGACGTACCTCTGTACAGAGGATCAGCCAAAGTGAAATCTTACGTAGCTCACATGCTTCTATCATTGCATTCAAAAGCTGAGGCTCATCCTTTCAAAATACAGGTGTTTGGCATCAGAAGCCTTGTCACCAGGATTACTGGCTGCAGCATTTTCAGCCTAACCATTAAAAAAATTAATTATGTTAGAAAGTGCATTGTGCCCCTCCCCTGCAATGAGGTCCGGTCCCTCTGATGACTTCCTTCGAGGTCTATTATTGCACATACACTTTTCAGTAGATAATCAACTGCTTGTTTGGTTGTTTTCTTTCCTAGTGCCAGTAACAACCAGGTATCAGTGGATGGTGTTTGCTACCTGTTGAATGCCATGAACACCTGCGTCAACGTGGCGGAGCTTGAAGCCAGGTATGCAAATGTTCTGAAATGCCTAACCTGTCACGTCTGGAGTAATTATCCCTATGGTAATTGTGCTCCTGCAAGTGGCTGGCATGTCCCTGCAGCCCCTGAGAAAGTCAGAGCAGGGGGTCTCCATATGCTGTTCTTGCCTGTGGACCCTGCTCCTCCAGCTCCCATTGATCAGTGATGGAGAATGGTGGCCAGTAGGAGCTGTGGGGTTGGTGCCTGGAGATGAGGAGCAGCACATTGCACCATGGAGCCACTGCTGTATGTGCCAGCTGCTTTCAAGAGTGGTACAGGGCCAGGGCAGGGGTAAGCCTGCCTTGACTCCACTGCTCCATCCCATCCCTGGGGCAGCTGTCTGGCTCAACAGATCTATCTTGTGTATTTAATCTGTAATCAAAAGACACTTTTATAGCTTCACCCATACACTATCTAATTTATCAACTGGTACCCTTGTGAGCACAGTATCTCAGTGCCTCAACCTGTATTAAACAAGCACTAAAAATATGTGGCAGGGAATATTCCTGTATTGGCAGGACATTGGTCAAATGACCATCTACCTTTATTCTGTAATGCTGTATATTCCTTCATAGCTAAAAGCTGTACAGTTTAGCAGGAATAGCTCTACATAATCATCAGAAGTTTTCTGAATTTCATCTGCATTTCATCTGAAGAAGAGGGTTATGCCCACAAAAGCTCATGATATCCTCTACCTTTTTTAAAACCTTCGGGGTTTTAGTCTGTACAGGATAAACTTAAAAAACAACGAATAGTCTGGTAGCACTTTAAAGTCTAACAAAACAAGTAGGCTGTGTATAGACTGGCATGATTTTGTGCAAATACTTTTAACGGAAAAGTTTTCCTGTTAAAAGTATTTGCGCAAGAGAGCGTCTATACTGGCATGTGCCTTTGCTCAAAAGATTTGCTTTTGTACAAAAGCATACGTGCCAGTGTAGACGCTCTCTTGCGCAAGAGGGCTTATCCTTGAGCAGGAGCGTCAGAGTATTTGCACAAGAACCACTGATTTTGTATGTTACAAAGTCAGTGTTCTTGCGCAAATACTGGCAGCCAGTGTAGACAGATGGCAAGATTTTGCACAAAAGCGGCTGCTTTTCAGCAAAATCATGCCAGTCTAGACACAGCCGTAGAGGGTATCATGAGCTTTCGTGGGCACACATCATCTGAAGAAGTGTGCTGTGCCCATGAAAGCTCATGATACCCTCTACGTGTTTTGTTAGTCTATAAAGTGCTACTAGACTATATTTTGTTTAAGTTTATTCTACATTTTTGTCAGTCTCTAAGGTGCTGCAAGACTATTTATTATTTTTTAAGAATTTTTCAGAGTAAACTCCCAAAATACTTGGCTGAGAATCAGATACAGTAATTGGATTTTAGAGAGCCAAAATGTCTTTTTTCACAGCCGTTTCTGCTTTTCTCATGCTGACACCATGCAATTCATCACCTGCCCCGAACCTTGACTAGAATTCCCTACTTTAAACCAGACCCTGTGTTGTGAAAGTGTAGTAACTTCAAAAGGACTTTTTCCTTGATAGTGTTCTGAACTAGTCAACTGATATTGCTTAATTAGATACGAGATTAGCTATGTGAGATGGTTGGTTGTCTTGGGTAATATTTTAATTGACCTTTGGAGTGTTGACTAAGTTGTTTTGAAAAGACCCACAATATTATCAAGAGTAAATAAAAATATGAATTAGTGATAGTGAACATTGTTTGTCATCTCGTTCATCCACAGCCTTCATCATCAGACTGCAATCCTGAAGTTCATAGGAGATAAAGAATTTGACTCTACCCATTCCAGGTACATCACATGGAAACAGCTGTTTCTTATATTTTCCTGTTATTTATATGTTGGAATGAACCCAAACATACAATTTAGTTGGTCATTAGGGTGCACTATGTATCCTGGCAGTTTTAACCTTCTGTTGCCCATCTCACTCTGATCTTGATGATTTCTCTTAGCATCCTCTCACTTAGTTTCCCCACACTCTGATTATAATGTCTTACATCTCTCCAGCACAGTTCATCCCACAGGACTCTTAACATAGAACACTCTGCTAAGATAAAAGGTTATCAATGTAGCAGTCACCAGTGCAGCAATGTGTAATACCACATAGCTGTGCTACGTAACAGGAAGCAGGTTGAATAGTTACAAAACCTGAGTTCCAGATATGAGCACATAGAATGGAACCAAGTTCAGCTCAATAAGCATATCTCGGTGTTTGCAGGAAAAAAATCAAAAATATTTTGAATCTGAAATGCTGCCATTGTGTCTCACGAGAATTATAGTTCAGTTGCTTTACGCTTCTTCTCTCCTCTGTAAGTTGAGCTTCCTGATTGGACTACATCTCCCATGATGCACCAGGGTCTCCCTTTCTTAGTGAGGCGAGGCAAGTGCATCATGGCAGTTGAATGCCTGTATTGCATCATGGGAAATGAAGTCCAGATGGAGAGCCCAGTCTATGCAGGAAAAAATGGGAGCAAGAGATATTTGAACTGAAACTCCCATGAAGCACTACAGTAGCATTTTAGAACCAAAATATTTCAGTTTGGGAGCATTCTGTTTTTGATTTTAAAAAAATGAAATTAACACACGTTTCACAAAAATCTTCATTCAGTCAAAAACTCCTTTTTCTGCACCAAATCAGTTTGGAAGGGAAAAGTTCAAACATCCCTTCTCTCGAGTATTTGGTTAACCACTGAAAGGAAGAGTTATATACTGCTAGACAAGGGCAGGAAATGAGCTGATCAGATAAGCTCCTTGGGGCAAATCCATGGTGGCTTTACAAACAAGGGAGCGCAATGTTTATTTCCAATTATTTGTCCTGCTTTTTCTGCTGCCTTCTGCTAAGGTGACTCCTCCCTGGAGTAGTTACCTACATACCAATCCTTGAGTTCTTCTGTTCATCTTGTCTTTTCAGAGGACAGTTCATGTTCAGATCTGATCATGTGTATTGTTCCAGGGGCATCTCACTTAGTGGCGACCACTCAGGTGAAGATGAGAGCCAGAAGTCTATGATCTCAAGGAAAATAAGGTAGCTTGATGCTTTCCATAAGTGTTCAGAGATGTTTGGTGTCTGCTGCTGAGAGAACCATTTCTGATGCAAGTCTGTATGGTGATTAGCACAGAGGAAGTTGTTTCAAAGACCCACTTCTCACTGTTTATCATAATTATTGTTGTGTGTGGGTGTTCTCTGGTTAGTGCTTATGCCATCCTGCAAGAGCCCATGTTGTTGCCTAGTTATGATGTCTCATTCACCAAACCAGCCAGTGATTTGTAGTTCAACCAGCAGAGCAGAGATGGGAACTTGATTTGCTGAACTTGTCAGTTTCTCTTACTCTGGGACATGCACTGTAACAAGATCCTGGACTCAAACTCAAGTCTGGATTTAATTCAGACTCGATAACCCCGTGCATGTTAGGCTGTGTTCATATCTCCTGCAGGCTGTCAAGAGGAAGGACTGGTACGCAAGTAGGACTCAGGAGAGCTGGGTTCAAATCTCTTCTCTGCCACAGCATCTCTTTGTGACCTTGGACAGTTCACTTTGTTTTCTGTGCTTCCCTGTCTGAATCATCCTTAATTTATCCCACCCTTATGAGTCTGTTTAAATATAATGCTCCATGGTCCAGTGAGAATCTCTTACTACGTGCATGTGCTTCTCTGAGAACAATGGGGTTCACACAGGCAGTTTCAATGGGGACCTGCATGTGTGATTGTAATGCAAATAAATAATGCTAAAGAAATGCCACCAAGCCAGCCCTCATCTCTTAGCAAATGATAATGCTCAGCATCCAGACAGCATTTTTCACTCATAGCTTTCATATACATATTATCCCCATTTTACAGATGGAGAAACTGAGGCACAAAACAATGACATGACTTGGTCAAAGTCACACAGCTCAGAACAGCATCTCAGTCTCCCAGTTGGATGATCTGTGTTGTATCCATGGGTCAGTGCTGAGCTGCTATGCAGGGTGGTACTCAGAGGGCTGAGTTGGAAAGCAATGTAGCTTTTGCTGGTTTGCCTTAATATTTTTCCCAAGCAAGGCTCATTTTAAAATCTGATTTTGAAAGCTTTTGTAGAATGACTCCCTCTCTCAAGTACCATTTAAACCTCTGGGTTACAGGAGCATTGCCAAGTGTCATGATGTTCTTAAACTCCCCTATATGAGTTTATCAACTTTCACTCCAAAAAAAAGTACATTTCTAATCCTCATGTTCACAGAGGAATCCTGAAATGTGGCTGAGTATAAACGAAAGGCTCAAACACCAGGAAACAAAGCAAAGAAACCCAGTATTCTTATTGTTCAAAATCTCATGATTTTAAGCCTAGCTCATGTTTTGGGGTGGGGGCTTTCTTTCTTTCTTAGGCTGACAAACAGTGGTTTTCCCACCAGAGATCTGGACAAGCTGTGTGCTGTATTGAAGAAATGTAGTAGCATATCAGAGCTAGAGTGAGTTGTCTTTTAGTGATAAGTTTACTTTTGCAATTTGTTGGGATATTGCTTATAATATTTTTAAATGTTGGGCTTTATTTATAGGGTCCCGTTAGTTGACCAGAGATTCATAATTTTAAGGCCAGAAGAGAGATGGTTTAACTCTAACCTCCTGCACATCACAGGGCAGAGAACTTTGCCCAGTAAGTTCTGCATCAAGTCCATACACATGTTTGAACTGGACTATATCTATTAGAAAGACATCCAGGTTCAATTGAAACACTTCAAGAATCTTCCACAAGCCTAGAGCAAATAGTTCCAATGGGTCCTTTGCATGCACGCAACATGTGCCTCTCTCATACGCATTTGCAGTAGGTGTGGTACTTATATATATTCTCAATACCGGTTATGGAGTTTCAGCACCAAATCACAGACTAGGGATGTGAAAGCCTGTTTAAAAAGTTAACCAGTCAAAAGTTAAGTTTAACCAGTTAACCAGGATCCTGCGGGCAGAGGGGTCACTCCAGCCTGGTTGGGCCGGAGCAGAGCCCTTCCTGACTGTGGTGCAATGTGGCAGGCCCAGCCAGGCTAAAGCGGGGGGCTGCTCCAGCCCAGCTGGGCCCATCACCATGGGCTGCTCCAGTCAGTCCAAGGCAAGCCTGCCATGCCATGAAGGCCGCACTCCAGTCTGGCTGGTTACTAGGTGATGCTAACCAGGTAATCGGTTAACCAATTAACCCTTTACATCCCTAGTACAGACCTCTACCACATAAGCTAGGGCTGGGGAACCTACGGCCTGTTGGCTGGATCTGGCCCCTGACTTCCCTCGATGCAGCCCATGGCAAGGCTTGGGGCTTGAGTGCAAACACTGGCTTGCCCCACTGTGGGGGGAAGCAGGGCTGGATTATGAAAGGGACTTTAGGGGTTGCCCCAGGCTAAGAAGGGTTAGTCCAGGGCCCTGGGATACAGCCACTAAAGCCCCTGCATGCTGCTGCATTTTGGGCCAGCTCTGCTGGGAGTGGGGAGGGGCCTCTGTGGTTCCTACTCTTCCCCCTGCAAAATGGGAGCTGGGCCAGGTAAGTGCTAATCCCCTGTAAGCCTCCTTCCTACACCCTCCCTTGCAGATCCACCCACCTCCAGCCTGCTCTGCATCCTAGACCCCTTCAACCTGGGCTGCTCTTCGGCAGCTGCCTCCCGCACACTGAATCCCTCATTATCGGCCCCACCTCAGAGCCTAGGGAGCTCATAAAATCTAATAGCCCCAGACCTCCGGAAGAGTTAATCTGGCCCTGAGGGGAAGCCCTGAGACTCATACACCCCCTCAGGGTGGTGGGAACCCTGGCACCCCCAGTTGTTTGAGTCAGGTGAATGTCTTTTTTCTTTTTCTTGGGGCTCCAACCTAGAAAAGGTTCCCCCACCCCTGATCTCCACCATGTTATTTGCACTTGCTGAAAAAAAAATCTCTTCCTTTAAATCCTAGTTTGTCAAATAACGCTCTGGGAGACCAGGGAGTTGGGATGCTGGTTGGACTCCTTCCAGAGCTGCAGGCCATGAGTTCCCTAAAGTAAGTGACCCCTCTTCATTAGACAGCTTGTTTAACAGGCAGCCTAATTTCTGCCCTTGACTTATCCCATAGATAGTTGTTTAAACCCATGCAAAGTGGGTATAGTAGGCTAGAAAGGGGAATTTTCCACTCACACTCCAGGGGATGGGCGGGGTTGACACCTGCTTGTGTAACGCTGGCTCGCTCTGAGTTACACTGGCACAGATGGAACTGCGGACAGGCGATGCAAAGCAGCAGAGCTTGAGGCCTTAGGCGGACACCGCAGCTGGGAGCCTGCTTTTCAGCTGGCCTAGACTGACACACACTAGCATGGCTTGAGCTAGAGGGCTGAACATAGCAGTTTAGCCAGGGCTGGCATGGGCAGTGGTGTGCGGTCGCCACGTGGCTGGTGGTCCAGGTGGGCTTGTAGTCAAGCAGTTCAGCCCAAACTGCCCCCTTGGACACCACTGGCTGCTCTGTTGTTTCTAGTGCCCCTGCGTGAGCAGAGCTAGCATGTGTCTGTCCACACGAGCTGGGACGTGCTCCCAGCTGCAGCGAGACTGGAAGCTCTGTGGGGCAAGGAGTGTCTCTTCTGTATCTACTGGCACCGGGTAAATCATTCATGAGCATGAGAAAAAGGATTTTTACTCCTCCCATGATAATGGCTTTATTTAATTTCTTCCTCTAGGCTGAGTGGTAATGGGATATCCCTGAGTGCCGTGTTTGGCTTAGCTCAGTGCATGTCTGCACTGGAACGTATTAAATCAGTAGACATCAGGTACGTTGCAGCCGTTGTTTCAATCCATGAAATGTGAGTACTCCTCTCCCCGCTCCATGCTCATTGTGTTCTCTTTTGGTTACAGCCTGGGAGACACTCAGTCACTCCATTTAACCTTCTGGGAAAGCGTCAGGTAAGATCCTGTCTGTCCATTTCCTGCACACCGTCCCCATAGCATCTACATGTTCATCTTGCAGTAGGGTGTCAAAATCCTTTTGGCTCTGAATGCTGGCCAGGAATAGTGGAGACAGGGAGCAACTGGGGGTGGGCAGCCAGAGATGTGTGGGTTGGGGTGGCAGGATCAGCAGTGGCTGATAGGGAGTATAGGCCACTTCCTCCTGGACAGCCACCTGACCAAAAGCCAAGGCGCCAGAGGGCTACAAGGCATTCCAGAGACTGCAGGAGAGTGGAGGAGCCTTCACTCCTGTGGACAATGTGTATTTAATTTATTTTTTGGAGGGTGGGAGGCAGAGGAGGTTGGTGTGTGAGGCCCTTCCTGCCCCTGGAACTTGGAGGAATCTCTGTATGCCATGAAACACTGCTCTGCAGTATGGAGAGCCCTAGGTTGCAGCAGTTGACATGAGAACAAAAATTCTCTCCCCAGGAACAGCAGTACAAGCAGATCTGCAAGAAAGTTTCCATCGCATCCCCAACATCTAGAGCACGACCATTGCTTTCGGTATGGCAGCTTTCCGACCTGGCTCCCTTTTTCCATTCAGAAATGTCAGAAAAGCCACACTTGGGTTATGATCATTTGGAGAGACCTTCATCTCCAAGTGCTTTTCCTTAGCGGGTCTCTCCATGCACTGCCTCGATGTCAGCCTAAAGTGAGATGGGTACCAGATTCTGCTTCCCACTGAAACCCACTGCTCCCCTCTGGTTACCCTTGTGGTAGGCAGTTCACAGCTCTCAGAGCACTAGCATGGGAGGGCCCACAGCTGTTCCAGATCAAAGGGGATTCTTGGGTAGACCTTTCCTGATTATTTGCTTTTGGGGCACCACCTTCCCAGCCCCTGCACCATTGGAATGAAGAGAAATCTGGGTGCTAGACCACGTAGCGCCAGAGATACTTGTCTCTAGAGGCACATACATCCTCAGCTGATGTAAATTGCCATGGCTCCACTAAAGTCAATGACAATAACTCCAGCTGAGGATCTGGCTTATTGTGCTATGCCTTCCCTGTATGCGCAATAAGAATCATAATTCAAATGAACTAGTCCGCTAAGAAAACAGTGTATTGTGCCATCTAAAAAGTGGCTTGGCTCTGGGGGATCTGTTTCCCATGATCACTGAGATATTCAGGGCCTGATTCCCAACTGCTTTACCCCTCATGGAGTGATTTACAGCTGCTAACATGAGAATCTGGATTCTCTGCTCACACCAGGATCCTACCCACCCTTTGCACAGGTATATATGGCTGTTGGGTGAGAGGGCTGCAGGGGAGCAGGCCAGCGAAAGAGAAGGTCTTGGAAAGGCTACAGTGGCGAGCATGCGCTTTCTCACACCTCTACTCCTTCCCGCTGTAATCGTAACTCTCCTTAAGGGAGCCCATGTAGCAAGAGAGCAATGTGCCCGTTCCCGTTGGGGGGGCCTGAGAACGCATGGCCAGAACAAGTCCTGATTCCCAAAGGAATGCTTATTGCCCAGGAAGCAGCTTTTCTGCACAGGGTGGTACGTCCATCTGAGCCAGAGCCTCGGTTGGTGTGAACCAGCAGAGCTCCATCAAAGTGAGTTGAGCAACCCCCATGGCTGGGCATCTGCTCCACAAGGCTTATAACAGCCAAACCATTCCCCTGAAGGAATTTGAGGTGAGCAAGGTGGTAGGTGAGAGAGCTGAGGCGTGGCTTTGACCCCAGCCCAGCAGCTCAGCCCAACCCCTGGCTCGTGAGCCGCATGCGGCTCTTCCCCCCCTTAAAGTGCAGCTCGCGAAGCCTCCCCCGTGGCTTGCAAAGCCCCCCGGCACCCCTAGAAATGGTCCCAGCCCCCCGGTTCTCTGAGCTCTCCAGATGCCGGGGAGTTGTCCGGCATGGCGAAGTAAAATGGCGCAGGCAAGCTGTCCAACCGGAGGCTTTTTTAAAGGGGCAGTGTCCCTTTTATTTTTTTTTGTTTGTTTGTTTTGCTTGACAACATTCCCCCCGCTCCCCCTCCCTCCCCCCTCTCCCGGCTCTTTGCACTATATGCACAACTATTTTGGCTCTTTGCCTGTAATGGGTTGGCCGCCCCTACTGTAGAAGGTAAATCTGTGAATCGTAACTATGCTGCTTGCTTCAGTCTTAGGGAATGCCCGGTGGGTCCCACGGACATGGACAAGCTATGCCAGATCCTTGGCAAATGCGCTGTATTGACAGAACTTGAGTAAGTGCCGAACATTGTGTAAGGGTGTCTCTACGTCAGGCTGTCTGCTGTTCATATAGAGTGAAATTCACCCATCTAAAACCAGTCCAGCTGATCAGTGTCCCTCTGTTTGCTTCATTGATGCTCTGGCCATTTACAGCAGCTGGGGTTCTGGCCCTGGGTAATTAATCTTTTGTTCATATAGAGGGCCTGGTGTGATGAAACCCATGTTCTTAACCCAAGGACACCAAGCAGGACCCTGCTCCCCCAGAACTGCTCTTCCAGCCTACAGGCTAGAGTATTGCCTTCAAAGCACAGTGCCAGTTGTGTGGAGTGTTTGGGACCTCTGTCCATGTACATGCAAATCTCATAACTCACCCCCACTGTAGCCTTCCACATGCAATCCCCTCCTAACGCAGAAAAGAATTGTGGGACGGCTCCATCTGTGATTCTTCCCTTCTCCCCCGCCCTCATGCACCCGGATCTTAGTGTCCGGGTAGGTCTTCAGCTGGCTTTCTGCAATGCAAGTGAATCTGTCCTCCAATGTCCTGAACGTGACCTCGGCGGAGCTACTCTGCTTTTACCCCAGTATATCTGAACAGTATTTGGCTTCCTCAAACGTTATAATTTGTGTGTGAATTTCCCAGGTCACGTGCAGTCCTGGCACACCCTTCTGTCCCCCCAAGGTATCTGAGATTCAGAGATGGTTGAAGATAATTGAAAACTATTGTTCTCTAGTTCTAGATTGTGCATAGCTCAGACCTTGCCAGTGACTTTGCATCAAGCCCATGATTTGTAAAGCTCATGATCTACTTAGTGGCCTCTTATCACTTGCCCAGCTGTTTTCATTCTAAATCGTTTCCCTGGTTGTTCCTTTTTTGGTGGGAAAGGGTAATTCCCATATGGCAAATAATGAAACTGAAAACCTTTGAAGTCAAGGAGCAGAGTGTGTATTTTTCAACAGGAATATTTTAATATCCAATAAAACTGTGAAACATTTCTAATCTTGCAATGTGTTTTCACCCTTGCTTTGCAGATTATCTAGAAATGCACTTAGCGATCAAAGCGTTGAAAGGCTGCTAGCATCCCTACCATGTTTGCACAGTCTAAAGCTACTGAGGTAAAATTTGGGCTGTTGTTTTGGGGAATGTCATGAAACATTCATTTTGAAAGCTGCAGTGTTGCAGTATGTCCTACCGTCAGTTATAAATCTTTGCATCATTCTGAATTAACACAGGGAGAAGCAAACCAAATTCAGAAACACTCAGAAACTTACTCGCCCCCCAAATCCTCTCCTATTTCCAGAGCCAAACACCTGATGATCCTCTTTTAAGATACTGAGATGATTAACTAGTATTCCTCCTCCTCTTTTTGGTTTCTGGCTGCAAGCAGAGCTCCAAATGCACTTCCATCAAGAAACAAAAGTGTGGCAGTGTCTACACTTCTTTTTTCGTGATTTCCAGCCTAATTATTGCAGACTCAAGCCTTATCTACACAAAAACTACATGTGCACTACAGCCCGGGTTTACACTCTGAGGGTATGTCTACACTACCACCCTAGTTCGAACTAGGGTGGTAATGTAGGCAACCGGAGTTGCAAATGAAGCCCGGGATTTGAATTTCCCGGGCTTCATTTGCATTAAGCCGGGCGCCGCCATTTTTAAATGTCCGCTAGTGCGGACTCCGTGCCGACTAGGTAGTTCAGACTAGGCTTCCCAGCAATCCAGTGCATTGTAGATCATTCCTCATGAGTTTTGGCTTATTTGATAAGCTTTGGAGGTTGATCCACAGCCCATTGCTATCATTGGGACTCTTTCCATTGGCTTTGGATCAGGCTCCTGGATAATTATCCGAAAAGAATGCTAGCTTTGAACCTTGTGTAGGAGTGGAAACAAGGGCTAGAATCTTGGAACTCCTGAATTCTACGCCAACATTGGACACTGATTTGCAATATCACATTGGAGAAGTCACTTAGAAACCACTTTCTAAGAATGTAGGTGGGCTTATCTACAACACAGGTGCACACACAGCTACTGCAGTTGTGTTGGCGTAAATGGCCAGTTAGCTATCTAATCGATTACTTGCACAATGTAGATACCTGCTCTGCACACATGGAAATGGATTTGCAGGCACAATAAAAAAAAATCATACGTGCAAACGAGGGGCCTGATTCACTGCTGTGTTATTCATGCTTTACATTAGTAACGTTACACCTGACCCTGTGGTGAAACTAGTTGTTCAAGTGCAAGCACTGTGCATGCCTACAGTTTGTGGAAATAAACAACACATTTTATATGTAAGGAACCAACCTTCCATAAAGTTGAAGACTGATTTATTTTTTTTCCTCCAGTATTAGGAATAACAAGTTCTCACCAAATTGCACTCTCTTACTGGCCAACTCCCTCAATCTGTGTGAGCGAATCAGGGAAGTCGAAGTCAGGTAAGGAACTGAGTCCTCTCCCCAGAAAATCAGCCACCACTGAATTCCAGCCAGTGGAATTGAGAGTCTTGTTCTTTTAGGAGAGGGTGGGGGTGGATGCAATGACTGTTTTTGCTTGTGTTTGCTATAGATCAAGTGAAAATGCATTTTTGCATTTTGAGAGGAGGACAGAGAGCCAAGAAACACCCTGCCGGTAGGACCACACTTTATTTCTTTATAACTTTGCTTCTTTTGCATGCATTTAAAATGTTAATATGTATTGAAATGACATCAAATCCATATTTGACAAAAGTGAAGTCCACACGCAATACCGATTCTGCCTAATGTTGAAATCTGACTACGCAGGTTCTTGCTTTAGTTACTTATTGTTTAATTGCTGTTGAGTTTGCAGTTAAAGGCTTGAATCCAATGAATCTCTAGGGGTATGTCTACACTACCACCCTAGTTCGAACTAATGTTCTAATGTACTAATGTTCGAACTAATGTTCGAACTAATGGTAATGTAGTCAACCAGAGTTGCAAATGAAGCCCGGGATTTGAATTTCCTGGGCTTCATTTGCATGTTGCCGGGCGCCGCCATTTTTAAATGTCCGCTAGTTCGGACTCCGTGCCCCGCGGCTACACGCGGCACGAACTAGGTAGTTCGGACTAGGCATCCTATTCCAAACTACCTGTACTCGTTCCACTACCTAGTTGGTGCCACGTGTAGCCGTGGGGCACGGAGTCCGAACTAGCGGACATTTAAAAATGGCGGCGCCCGACAATATGCAAATGAAGCCTGGGAAATTCAAATCCCGCCCGGCAACATGCAAATGAAGCCCGGGAAATTCAAATCCCGGGCTTCATTTGCAACTGCGGTTGACTACATTACCACCCTAGTTTGAACTAGGGTGGTAGTGTAGACATACCCTAAGACAGTTGTGTGCAAAGTCATGCTAAATGCAAATATACAACAAGCATATTTTGCACAGGCAATTGTGCATCTAAACTAAAAGTGTGGCCCCCATTGTCCGTAGCACAATGTATCCTAAAGTCATGTGATCATCTTTGTGCAGTTCAGGCTCCAAGGCAACATCACTTGTCAAGTTCACAAGAGAAGATGAACCAAGGAAGATTTTGAGGTAATTATTTCATGTGTGTTTCAATCCCTTTTGAAAAGCTTCCCCTCTTCAGAGAGAAGAAGGAAAACCATCTCTTCGCCCACTAGATAGAATAGTTGAACAAATGGCATATTCACAGATTCCAAGGCTAGAAGGATCCGTTATGATTATCTCACCTAATTTCCTGTAGAAAACAGCCTAAATAATTCTTAGAGCAGATCATTTAGAAAAGAACCATCTGATCTAATCTGAAAAATTGTCAGTGATGGAGAATCCATCATGACCCTTTGTAAATTGTTCCAGTGTTTAATTACACTCATCTTTTTTTTAAAAAGCCTAATTTCCAGCCTGAATTTCTCTAACTTCAACTTTTAGCCATTGGATCATGTTGCATCTTTCTCTGCTAGACTGTATTATTTGTTCCCTATCCTGTTTTTTGTATTCTGTAATTAATTCACCCCTTAGTCTTCTCTTTGATAAAATAAATAGATTGAGCTCCTTGAATCTATCAAGACAAACAGTGGCTACGTCTACACTGGCATGATTTTCCGGAAATGCGTAAAACGGAACAGTTTTCCATTATAAGTATTTCCGGAAAAAGCACATCTACATTGGCAGGATGCTTTTCCGGAAAAGCACTTTTTCTGGAAAAGCGTCCGTGCCAATGTAGACGTGCTTTTCCGCAAAAAAGCCCCAATCGTCATTTTCGTGATCAAGGCTTTTTTGCGGAAAATAAATCTGTGCTGTCTACACTGGCCCTTTTCCGGAAAACTATTCCGGAAAAGGACTTTTGCCCGAACGGGAGCAGCATAGTTTTTCCGGAAAAGCACTGATGATTTTACAGTAGATCGTCAGTGCTTTTCCGGAAATTCAAGGGGCCAGTGTAGACAGCTGGCAAGTTATTCTGGAAAAGCGGCTGATTTTCCGGAATAAGTGGTAAGTGTAGACACAGCCAGTGTGTTTTCTAATCCTTTAATCATCCTCGTGGCTCTTCGCTGAGCCCTTTCCAATTTCTGGACATCCTTCTTCAAATGCGCACCCCAGAACTGGACACGGTATTCTAGCTGTGATCACACCACTGCCAAATATTAGCCAATTTTTAATTCATTTAATCTGCACCATGTTAACTTTATACTGTTTTAGTTTTTTCTTCAAAATGTCATACAGTAGCAATTCAAACAGAAGTCTATAGTATGTTATCACTGTTACCTTTGTCAACCAAATTTGTAATCACATACAAAAAAGATATTAAGTTAGTTGGACAGACTCCATTTTCTATAAACTCGTGTTGATAGGCATTCATTACATTAGCTTCCTTTAATTATTTATTAATTGAGAGCAAGATCAGCTCCATATCTTGCTTGGGTGGATGTCAGGCCTATCATTAGCTAGATCGGTTCTAAATCCTGCTGGAAAGGGATAACAAGTGGAGTTCCTCAAGGGTCTGTTTTGGGACCCGTACTGTTCAATATCTTCATCAATGATGTAGATATTGGGATAGAGAGTACTCTTATTAAGTTTGCAGATGATACCAAACTGGGTGGGGTTGCGACTTCTTTGGAGGATAGGGACATAATTCAAAATGACCTTAGCAAGTTAGAGAAATGGTCAGAGGTAAACAGGATGAGGTTTAATAAAGAGAAATGCAAAGTGCTCCACTTAGGAAGGAACAATCAGTTCCATACATACAAGATGGGAAGCGACTGTCTAGGAAGGAGCATGGCGGAAAGGGATCTAGGGGTCATAGTGGACCACAAGTTGAATATGAGTCAACAGTGTGATGCTGTTGCAAAAAAAGCAAATATGATTCTAGGTTGTATCAACAGGTGTGTTGTAAGCAAAACTCGTGAAGTCATTCTGCCGCTCTATTCTGCACTAGTTAGGCCTCAGCTGGAGTACTGTGTCCAGTTCTGGGCGCCACATTTCAAGAAAGATGTGGAGAAATTGGAAAGGGTACAGAGAAGAGCGACAAGAATGATTAAAGGTCTAGAGAACATGACCTATGAAGCCAGGCTTCATGAACTGGGCTTGTTTAGTTTGGAAAAAAGAAGATTAAGGGGGGACATGATAGCAGTTTTCAAATATCTAAAAGGGTGTCACAAGGAGGAAGGCGAAAATTTGTTCCTCTTGGTTTCTGAGGACAGGACAAGGAGTAATGGGCTTAAAGTGCAGCAGGGGAGGTTTAGATTGGACATTAGGAAAAAATTCCTAACTGTCAGGGTGGTCAAATATTGGAATAAATTGCCAAGGGAGGTGGTGGAATCTCCCTGTCTGGAGATATTTAAGAACAGGTTAGATAGACATCTGTCAGGGATGGTGTAGACGGAGCTTGATCCTGCCTTGAGGGCGGGGGGCTGGACTCGATGACCTCTCGAGGTCCCTTCCAGTCCTATTATTCTATGATTCTATGATTCTATGATCACCCATTTATCCTTTGTTAAAATTGATCCATGTAGTATTTCCTCCTGGTTTCCTTCCATCCCTTCCAACGCAAGAGAGAAAAAGCTACTCCCCCTGTAGCTCTGATCTCTTGTAATTATTTATCTCAACAGTCTCTGCCAGTGTTCCCTCTAATTTTTTCCATCTATGTGCAGAATAAATTTTGCTATGTTCATTGAGGCATGGGCAGACATGCACCTCCAGTAGAACACCTGCTGCCTGTGGTGGATGTTGTGGGTGCTCTGCTAATCAGCTGGGGACATTTGAATCTTTCCTGAGTGGCTGCTCCAGCACTCAGCTCGCAGGGAACACTGGTCCCCGCTAAATGTAGCTGAATCTACATTGCAATGTTTCTCTTAGGGTATGTCTACACTACCACCCTAGTTCGAACTAGGGTGGTAGTGTAGACATACCCTAATAGATTAGTAAGACAGCATTTCCCTTTACAGAAAGCCACGTTGACATTTGTCCAACAAATTATGTTCTTCTACATGCCTCCCAATTTTATTCTTAACTATTGTTTCGACTAACTAATAAACTAGGCAAATATAACTTAGATAGGGCCACAATAAGGGCCTTTACTCCTCGTGGAGTCCGAACTACTGGGGATTTAAAAATGGCGGTGCCCGGCAAGATGCAAATGAAACCCGGGATATTTAAATCCCGGGCTTCATTTGCAACTTCGATTGACTACATTAACCACCCTAGTTCGAACTGGGGTGGTAGTGTAGACATACCCTTAACTCTTAATCATCGGTAGTTATCCATCCCTGTGATTCAGTTACAGGAGAGTATTTTGTGTCAGGTAGAGTGAAAGAACCCCCGTAACAGGCTGCGTCACAGAACTCTTTTAAGAGTTCACCAGAAATATTTTCAGAGTTTTAGCGCTTAGACGTTGTCTGCCCTCCTCTTTTCTCAGGAGATGCTGCAGTGCCTGCGACTTCTGGATTAAAGGGACTAATGACTGAGTAGGAACTAATATAGTTTCCTCCCCTATTCTTTCAGGCTAACAGAGTGCTTCTTTCAACCAGAACACCTGCCAAAACTGGTCTCTCTACTGCAAATGTGCACCAGCTTGACAGAGTACATGTGAGTTAGAGACTGCTGGGAAATCTGGCATAGACTGAACTTGGCCTCAGAACAGTTTGTTAGTGTTGAAATTGTTTGAACCTTTTCCTTACGACAATCCATGATTCTAGATCAACAAACAACAACATGACAACCAAAGCCGTGGATGATCTTCTGAAGGCACTGAGGAAAAGTCAGGGAACACTGAGAATAAGGTACAGAACAGGGCTCGTGTTACATAGTCACGCCCGCTTTGTTTCTGATAAGCTAAGATCCCATTCTGCTGAAAATAACATCAGGCATGGCAGGCAGAAAGGTTGGAATTGAGTTGCCCTCCCAGTCAGCAGTGATTTAAGGTTTGTCTGCACATGGAAGCTCTTGTGAAATAAGTGACAGGAGTGGCCCAAGGCCGGCTGCGGCAGCTGGCACCCCAGGCTGGCC